GGAAGGGGAAGGGGCGCAGCTGAGGGGCAGGGCATCTGCAGGAGGGCACAGGGGCAAACATCTCTGGCTCAGGCTGGCACGGACCCTGCCGGAGACCCTGGGGAGCTGCTCCCTTCAGTCCTGAGCTCAAGGGGCAGAATGAGGGGTCCAAGGCAGCTGCTGCTCCGCGATGGACGATGCATATAGTCGCTCACGGATCAGCGGCGTACCTGGGGCTTTTGCCGCCCCTCTCCCTGTCCCTCAGCAGGGAGCCCCGTCCTCTTCCACGGTCCTCCCCACGGCGGACAGGGAAGGGGAGGCAGGAGGGGGAATGGAAGAGCAGTGCAACAGGGAGGTGCCCCTCTCACCCTGCAGCCCCCTGACACCCTTTGCAGGCCACTACTCCTGCCCCCCCTTCCTCTGCCAGTGCCATTGATAAACCTATTGCCCTCCTTCGTGAATTCGCCTTTGAAAGCTCTCTTTGCCACCACCATTACCGCATCTTGTGGCAATGATGTCCATCAGATTCATTTTGCAAGGAAATGGCTTCTTTTGTCTTCCTCACATCAAGGTACACTCTGCCTACACATGGAGGTTCTGTTGTTCTGTCAAGGCTAATAAAACATCTAATAGATCTATTTCCCGGAGAACGCATCTGATCTTTTCCCAAGCTATCAAAGTTAGTGACCTCTTGTGTCTGCGAGCAAATCAGTGAGAGAGGCTTAAGCCTGTTTCAATAAAGGTTTTATTTCCACCTTAGTAAGGCAGCAGAGTTTTGAGATGAAGGCTGAGGGTTGAAGTGGGTGACAGTTTTGAGAACGCAGAGGAAAGGAGGATTCTTAAGAAGTGTGGCATATGGAAATGAATTAATGATAATAAATACGGTGAAGACAGTATTGTAAAAGACTGAGGAAGGCAAAATTGAAATTAGCTATTCATGTTCAGATTATTACTCATTTCATTTATATACTGCTTCATATTTTTAAGGGAAAAATTCTCAAAGCAATTAAAGGGAAATCTCATTGCAGTTTGTGTCCATAGGATGTTGAGAGCATTAACTCTGTAGATCCAGGAGTTGTCTCCTCTTGATAGTCTCAGATTTGATTGTTCTTTCTGATAGAGCAGGAGGAACATTTATGGGCTTAAAGCTGCATTGATTCTGGAGGCCACATTCCAGTGAGCTTTGTGGCCAATGTATGCACATGCATGCGCACACAGAAAAGAGATGCAGACCATAAAGTCACAGGCACACACGCCAGAGGTGCTGCACGCACTCACCAGACATGCCATCTAGCATACAAACAAGTCTTGCAAACACAATCAGCATGTTTAGACCTTCCAACCCCAGTGCTGGGCTGGAGGAGAAATAAGAGCACAAGAAGACCCTGCTGAATTAGCAAGGAGATCTGTGGAAAAAAGACCTTTTTGATTGTTCTTTAGAAATCCTCTTTAAAGAGCAGCCAGAGAGATCATTTATTTCTAGAGCAGAGCTTTTACCCCATTTCAGCACTGTGCTGATTTGTGGTGAAATTGGAGTTTAAAAGTTCTCTCTAAGGGCCCTTTAGGCACCATTCTCTCCAGGACAGACAGAGATCTTCATCCTATGATCAGATCAGTAAGAGAGCCTGTGTACTGGTCCAGTAAATGCTTCCGCTGCGTAACCAGCAACAGTTCTCTTTGCAGAGCATTAATTAAGTCCAGTGCAGAGATTCTTGTTGCAGTACAAGCTTCAGAGTCTCAGTAGCAAAGGAATAACGACACAGGGAAGCCTGTCTTTCCAAAGACAGGTTTATTGCAGAAAGATAACAGAAACACCTCCGGAGCTTTCAGACATTTTTGCTTCATGCCCCCAGGCAGAGAAAACAAACACTCTTTATATACTGAGCAACTTAACAACTTAACGAGCTTGACTACTTAAAGTCACATGACATTGCTAACTTGCCAGCGTCTTAGGTTTCACACCCTAACAATCAGGAGATGTGTTTATTTCTTTTCCAGCAGGGTGGCGTAAAAATGGAATTGCAGAGACCCAGGAGACCCATTCAAAGGGAGAGACTGGAGTGCAAAGGAAGGAAACCTCCTGCCGGCCAAGTTGGGACCATCAGGGATCTTCTACCTCAAGCAGATTTATGTCAAATTAAGCAGGAGGCAGAGGAGGGGCAGCCGCAGCAGCACTGGGATGCCCAGAAGCAGGATTTCCTGAAGACGATGCAGCCCCCTCGTTCAAAGTGGGAAACCCCACAGCCTCCCAGTCCTCCCCACTCCGGGGATGGTGTCCTCTCCTTCAGGGGAGCGGCAGATGCCAGTCGGAGGCCCAATGGGAGAGCGGGGGGGACAGACCAGACCCTGCTCCCAGACACTGAGGGACTTCTAGGAAAGGTAAGTGCCCTCCTCTCACCTGGGTTTCCAGCACCTGGAGGTCACAGGTCCACTGCCTCTAGACATTGAGGTTCTGTTTAGCTATGGTGGTGAATATTCTTTCTTCTCCATGCAAGGGCCACCCATGTATTCAAAGCAGTCCTTTGCAAATTAACTCTTAAGATCCAAGGGATCTACTCTCAGGCCACTAATGTGCATACCATGCCAGCCTTAGGAAGGGAGGTGGGACAGGCAGGTGAAAGGAATTGCCAAAGTTGTTTGAAAATGGGTGGAGGCTTTTGAGAAGGGGGTGCCCAATTGGGGCTTCTCCGGGGGCAGCAGAATGTCTTGGGCAGGAGAATCCCTGCAGGGGCTCTCAGACTCCCTTGGCTTCTTGTTCTTCCCTCCCTCCCAGGAAGCTGCAACTGGCTCTGGATTCTGCGCTCCTCAGGAAGCTGGACCTTCAAACCTAGCTGAGACTGAACCTGCAACCCTGGCCAGGATGGAAGGAGGAAGATGGACGGTTGACCTGGTCAGGCTGTCTCCCGCATCCCTCCCCACAACCTCTGAGCATTCCCTCCCAGGACCCTTGGAGAACTCTGGTGAGTTCTAGGGGAGAGCAGATGGGGACAGGGATAGATGGATTGTGGAGGGAGAAAGAGTAAAAGATGGAGAGGAGACAAATGGAAGGAAGTTCCTGACATTAAGAAGGAAGAGGTGAAGCCTTCTCCGAAGCAGCTCTTTGTTTCTTGAATCCTTTTCCTAAAGTAGTGGGGGCAGATTTTCTTCCGCCAGGCTTTGAAATCTTAGGTGTTATTTCCATGGCAGGAATAATTGATGGTAATGATGTTGCACACCAATCCTGAAAAATGGGTGAAGGGGAATGGAAATGTTTCCCATAATTATTCATAATTAATGTACATAAATTGTTCCTGTTACTCTTATTTGTTATAGACAGGGTCAGAGTGATACATTCCACCAGCATCAAAACACAATAGATGCATGCACCTCCCCAGTTTGGTGGGTTTAAGGGACAAAGGACCTGTTACCATGATACACGATTCCTGGGGCTGGAGGCTCTACACTTAGGATTGGGCATATAAAGTCCAAGAGCGTCTGGTATTATAAGCAAATTGTGCAAAATTGCCAATCTTACAGACTGGGGTTGTTTGTGAGAGTGAGTGAGTGGAATTATAATTTATAGCGCCCCTGTGTAATGGCTTGGTTCTCCCGCACAGACGTGAAACAACTCCAGTAATAATTATCTCAGGCTTAATGCTCAAACTCATAAATCACTGTGGAGCTCAGTCTTCGGCCTGTTCATCCCAGCTTGCAGTTGCCGAGTCCTCCAGCAAAGAAGCCCCCGCTTTTGCTTTCTTTCCCCCTCTTCTCGCAGATTCTCTCGAGCCTACGATTTTTGGGACAGGCTATTTCCGGGGGCTCTGTGTCAGAGCTCAAACTGGAGATAACAGTCTGTGCCCCCCCGGCACCCCCTCTTCCTGCTCTTTGTTCTTTCCTCCTGCTGCAGATTGGCTGCTCCTCCCCTGCTTCACATTCCAACTTAATCACATCTCTTGCGTTCTCAGGCTCTGTCATCGGAGGCACGATAGGCTTGAGATTCACAGAGCTGACACCCTGTAATTTTGTCCGTCCCAAAGCTTTCATGAAGATACTGTGGTACACCTTTGGTGCAAATTTGAAAATAAGTACACAAAGCCAACAAAGAGACTCAGAGGTTTATACAGGCACCAGCTTTCCTGGTCAATAGTTCACTTTGTCAGACTGCACCCCACAAAGCTTAAGCCATAATGCATTTATCAGCTTTTAAGGGCTGCAAAAGATGAATCAACGGAAGTGTAGTTCATCTATGGAATCCATCCTACAGGAGACAGTGAGAGCCAGCGACATGGATAGCTTGAAAGAAAAGATAAGACTGACGTCTCTGCTCTGCCCTCGTGGTCCTAGGCAATAATGCTTCTTAATACTAGTTTCTGGAAAGCACAGGAAGGCAGAGAAGACTCTTGTACTCCAATCCTGCTTGCCGGTTTCCCACAGGCATCTGGTTGGCCTCTGTGAGAAGAGGATGCTGGACTAGGTGGGCCTTTGCCTGATCCAGCAGGCTCTTCTTAGGTTCCAATATATTGCAATATTTCTACAGTTAGATGTAGCACTTAAGTTTTACTGATTTCACAAAGGAGATACTGTTACTCGAGAATGAGATTATTTCCTCACTTGAAAAAGAAAAATACAGAGATGTGTCTAATAAGCTAATTCCACCATAGATTCGTATTATAAAATGATGGTGCTTTATTAAGTGTGGATGGAGTGCTCAGGTGTTGCTGTTGCCATTATCTCATCTGCTTTGCAAAAAAATTGGAACCTAGAGAGGACAGTGGAGATTGGAGACGGTGTTAAAATGAGAGAAGGTGCAGATAGGAATTAACTTGTGTTCAGTTCCTTTTTTGTCTTTCTTGAAAGTCTAACAGGATTCTCTTTCCTCCCAGACTCCCAAACAGGTGAGGAAGATGAAGGTCAGAATTCTATGGAGCCACCTGTCAATTCATTGGGAAGAACAAAGAAACTGAGGATACAAGAACAAACTCACAAAGGAGAGAAACTATTTGAATGTATGAAGTGTGGAATGAGCTTTAGTCATAGTCAAGCACTTAGAATACATCAACGAACTCACACGGGTGAGAAACCATTTAAATGTATGGAGTGCGGTAAGAGCTTCCATGAAAGTGGACATCTTAGAATACACCAACGTACTCACACAGGGGAGAAACCATTTGAATGTATTGAATGTGAAAAGAGCTTCAGTACCACTGGGAAACTTAGAATACACCAACGAATTCACACAGGTGAGAAACCATTTAAATGTATGGAGTGCGGTAAGAGCTTCAGTGATAGTGGATCACTTAGAATACACCAACGTACTCACATGGGAGAGAAACCATTTAAATGTATTGAATGTGGAAAGAGCTACAGTCAAAGTGGAGGCCTTAGAATACACCAACGAACTCACACTGGGGAAAAACCATTTAAATGTATGGAATGTGGAAAGAGCTTCAGTGATAGTGGATCACTTAGGATACACCAACGAACTCACACAGGGGAGAAACCATTTAAATGTATGCAGTGTGGATTCAGCTTCCGTGAAAGTGGACATCTTAGAAGCCATCAACAAACTCACACAGGGGAGAAACCATTTGAATGTGTGGATTGTGGAAAGAGCTTCAGTCGAAGTGGGACACTTAGAAGACATCAACGAACTCACACAGGGGAGAAACCATTTAAATGTATTGAATGTGAAAAGAGCTACAGTCAAAGTGGAGAACTTAAAATACACCAACGAACTCACACAGGGGAGAAACCATTTAAATGTATGGAATGTGGAAAGAGCTTCAGTGATAGTAGATCACTTAGAATACACCAACAAACTCACACAGGGGAGAAACCATTTAAATGTATGGAATGTGGAAAGAGCTACAGTCGAAGTGGAGAACTTAAAATACACCAACGAACTCACACTGGGGAGAAACCATTTAAATGTATGGAATGTGGAAAGAGCTACAGTCGAAGTGGAGAACTTAAAATACACCAACAAACTCACACTGGGGAAAAACCATTTAAATGTATTGAATGTGGAAAGAGCTATAGGCGAAGTGGAGTACTTAGAATACACCAACGAACTCACACAGGGGAGAAACCATTTAAATGTGTGGATTGTAGAAAGAGCTTCAGTGATAGTGGATCATTTAGAAGACATCAACGAACTCACACGGGGAGAAACAAATTAAAAGTTTATAGTGGCACCAGCTTTCCTGGTCAAGAGTCCACTTTGTCAGACTGCAGCCCACAAAAGCTTAGGCCATAATACATTTATCAGCTTTTAAGGGCTGCAAAAGATGAATAAACAAGCGTAGTTCATCTATGGAATATATCCTACAGGAGACAGTGACAGCCAGCAACATGGATAGTTTGAAGAAAAGGATAAGACTGACGTCTCTGCTCTGCCCTGGTCCAGGCAACAATGCTTCTTAATATTAGTTTCTGGAAAGCACACGAAGGCAGAGAAGACTCTTGTGCTCCAGAGAGCCTGTTGATGAAATACTGAGTTTGACAGCTGTCAAGTTAGCTGTCAAGACGGATAAAGAGAACCCTGCTTTTGTTGCTTCTGCTGGTTATATTTGTTACAATTTGTCGGAAATAAGGAAGGGCTGATACAAAATAACTTGATTTTTGGACTTGAGCTGAAAGGAATATTAAGGAACTAAAATCCCCCTAGAGGGGTTTAGTGACATTACAGGAATGGCTGGAGGAGGGAAAATCCAGGCTGAATTGGACAGAGTATTTGTTCTCTTGGGAAAGTTACAAGGCCAAATTGATGTTTTGGCTACAAATGTTACAACTCTGGACTTAACAGTAAATAACATTGTTGAATCTGATAAGGATTTGAAACAGGAAGCCTATTCAATTGGACATATGTTGCCCCTGAAGAAAAGGAAGGAGGAGCTGTAATTTTGCAGATGTTAAAGGAGAGTTGTACCTTGAGGCCTGACATGATGGCAATAAAGGAAAATAAAAATCTGAAGTGGAAAGTCTGGCCTGAATTGGAGAGTGGAGAACTGAGAGATCTGAAGACCGAAGGATTATAAATTTGACTAAGGTGGAAGTTGGAGCTCTGGGGACATTTGGACTTGAAAGGAGTATGAAACAAGATTTGGAGTACCCCATAGGCTCTATTTTTAAATATGGAGGTCTGGCTGGAAGAAACATGGATCCTGTTGGGCCGGAGCATCTCCGAGATTTGGGGTTTAACATTAAGGACAATCAAAAAGACTGGCAGAGAGGAATTGAGAGAGAATTAAGAGCCTCAGATGTGAGATCTCCAGGCTAAACAGTATATCGAGACTGATGGACATTTGTTGGGGACTGAAACCGGGAAAAGGGTGGGTGGAGCCTGGGAATCCAAAGGGTATATAATTATAATTTCTTCTGTTTTTATTTGATTCTGCAATTTGTACGGAAATGGGGAAAGTCGTGGAAGGGAAATTTTGGTCGACTTTAGGAAAAATATTTAAGAATGAATAATGAGGTATAAGTAATGATGTTGAAGTTTGGATAAGTCAAAATTGGTTTTTAAAAATGGTCTAAATTAAATGAAAATAAGGTTTGCAAAATAAATTGAAGAAATGGAAGAAAGAAGAAAAGTGAAATAACAACATGTTAGAATAAATTATTAAGTTAAAGTGGAGAAATAAGTTAAGGATTTGCTGAGCTGATAATTTAAATTGGAATACAAGAAGGGGAGGTGTGAGGAGGTCTGAGAAACAAGTTAAAAGAAAATAAGTAATTGAAATCTTATGTGTTTTTAATTGTTTTTAAGTTTTGTATTTTTGTTATTTTTTGTTTATTTTTGTTTTTGTGTGGTTTTTGAAAATGCTAATTAATATTCATTTAAAAAAAAGAGAAGACTCTTGTGCTCCAGTCCTGCTTGCCGGTTTCCCACAGGCATCTGGTTGGCCTCTGTGAGAAGAGGATGCTGGACTAGGTGGGCCTTTGCCTGATCCAGCAGGCTCTTCTTAGGTTCCAATATATTGCAAAAATTTTCCAGTTACATGTAGCACTTAAATTTTACTTATTTCACAAGGAGACACTGTTACTTGAGCCTGAGATCATTTCTTCACTTCAGAAAGAAAAAATAGATGTGTCTAATAAGCCAATTCCACCATAGATCTGTGGGGTTGCTCGTGCGTAAGTTGCCGGCACTCCTGGGTAGGTTGCCTGGTTGAACCCTTCTGTCTGGACAGCCTCTCACCCGTGGCTGTCTCAGTCGCTGGCAGAATCCGTCAGTGGGCGTTTCTTGAACTTCTTCCAGCAAAGAAGTTCTTTGACGCCAAGTCTCCTCCTACTCCCCCTGCGCGGAAGTCTTCTGCGCAGGGAGGGTGTGGGCAGCGGAGTACCCGTGCTTTCCCCGCTGGTCTCCGGTGAAGAGTCCTGGAGCCTCCTCTCCGATTCCCCCATCTGCCCCCCTTCACCACTGGTGTTAAGCTGATTTCCTTCCCCAGCAGATGGGCTGCCTCTCTCCCTACTGGGACCCTCTCTGGCATCCCTCTGGAGCCTTCCCTCCGCCTCTGGCTCTGATGGCAGTTCCCTGACAATCTGTATTATAAAACGATGGTGCTTTATTAAGTTTGAATGGAGTGATCATGTGTTGCTCTTGCCACTATCTCATCAGCTTTCGTAAAATTTGGAACCTAGAGAGGATAGTGGAGAATGAAGGTATTAAAATGAGAGAAGGTACAGATTGGGATTGACATGTGTTCAGTTCCCTTTTTGTCTTTCTTGAAAGTCTAACAGGATTCTCTTTCCTCTCAGACTCCCAAACAGGTGAGGAAGATGAAAGTCAGAATTCTATGAAGCCACATGTGAATTTATGGGGGGAAACAAAGAAATTGAGGATACAACAAAAAAAGTCACAAAGGAGAGAAACTATTTGAATGTACGGCATGTGGAAAGAGCTTCAGTGAAAGTGGAGACCTTAGAATACACCAACTAACTCACACAGGGGAGAAACCATTAGAATGTTTTGAATGTGGAAAGAGCTTCAGTGAAAATGGAGAATACACCAACAAATCACACAGGGGAGAAACCATTTGAATGTTTTGAATGTGGAAAGAGCTTCAGTGAAAGTGGAGCACTTAGAATACACCAACGAACTCACACAGGGGAAAAACCATTTAAATGTATTGAATGTGGAAAGAGCTTCAGTGATAGTGGATCACTTAGAAGACACCAATGAACTAATACAGGGGAAAAACCATTTAAATGTGTTGAATGCGGAAAGAGCTTCAGTAAAAGTAGGATACTTAGAATACACCAACAAACTCATACAGGGGAGAAACCATTTCAATGTACGGAATGTGGAAAGAGCTTCAGTGTTAGTGGATCACTTAGAATACACCAACGAACTCACACAGGGGAGAAACCATTAAAATGTATTGAATGTGGAAAGAGCTTCAGTGAAAGTGGAACACTTAGAAGACATCAACGAACTCACACGGGAAAAATCACAGATACTTTAATAAACCATATAGGTGTTCTTTACCTTTCCTTCTATGCTTACTTGCAATACTGATAAAATCAAACCACGCCAATGCTTTCAGCCCCAGAAGAGGTGGTCCCCTTGGTGTCAGGGTAGGGGTCCAAGGGAGCATCTGGAGCCCTGCCATTCCTTCTGTCCCTGGCCCCTTCCCCTCCTCTCTCTGCCATCCCAGGGCCACTCATGACTCCACAGGAGGAGACTGGATCTGTCTGTGATGGTGAGATGTCCTGGCTGGTTGAAGGACCACTTCCTGTTTCCTAGACCTCCAGCCTGCCTTCTCATGCAAGGTGGAGTCATGAAGCAGGTGAAGGCTGAGCACACCTAAGGGTGGCGCAGCGGGTGGGTGGGATTCTGCTTAACCTTTCCCCGTCTGCTCCTTTTCTGGATTCAAATCCCCACACAAAAAGGGGCAGTGTGAGGGCGCAATCAATGTTATGGAGCTGCACTGAAAATCATTGCTTTGTGACCGTAAGAGGCCCTTTTCAAAAAAACAAGCATCAAAAGAATTTAAGCTATAGAATTTAAAACAAACAGATAATTACAAAAGAAGAAAGCAGTCTGGTGCCACATTGCGTAGGAGTTACTTTAACACACTCTACCTGGGGCTGCCTTTAAAAAGAGCTCAGAAACTTCAATGGCTCAAAGAACTGCAGACACTTTGCTGGCCAGGCCTGGCTATAGGCAGCATAGGACTCCCATATTAGAACAGCTCCATCTGCCTAATTGTCTGTTTCTGGACACAATGTTTCCACATGAAGAGGAAGATAGATTTGGAGTGCCGCATTTTCAAAAAAGATGGACACACGACTATTTCTTTGTGGAGCTGAAAGGCATGCCCGTGTGCCTCATTTGTGGTGAGGCCCTCTCCGTCCTGAAGAAGGCCCACCTGCAGAGGCACCACAGGACGAAGCCCATTCAGTACAAGGGAGTTCCAAGGGCAGCTGCGCCAGGAGAAGGTCAAGGCACTGAAAACGGACTTGTTGGGTAACCTGTGGCCCCTCCAGATGATGTGATATTGCAACTCACATCTTCTTTAGCCGTTGGCCACGCTGGCTGGGGCTCATGGGAGCTGGAGTCCAAGGATCTAGGTCCACAAATGCTGGGGACATTTCAAATCCCTCCTCAGTCATGAAGCCAATTGGGCAACTTAAAGCTGGTTCACCATCTTTATGCGAAACCTCCCTCGCAGGGTTGCTGTGTGCGTGAAAGCAATATATCTTGTGGTGGGCTTGATGAGGGGAGTGTGGAACAGAAATGTAATTCATAGGTAAGAAGACAGGAAATAGTTCTGAATCTGACTGAAAATAAAGGATTCTTTGTCTCCAAATTGCATATAGCAAGCACCTGTGTTGTTGAACTCTAGCTGAAGTCTCAACATCTGGTTCCTCAGCACTCTGCACTCTCTCTCTCTGGAAACCTCCAGCTGTCAGGTGACAGGAACCAGCCAATGCCTCCCAGTTCAGAAACAGTCTGCCAAGAGCTGAGATTGGAAGTGGACAACCAAGGAAACTTAGGGGAGCATTTTCATTTCCATGCTTATGAATGTTGATTTGAATCAATTCATCTGATGTGTTCAAAATAGTAGAGAAACTTTATGGTTGACACCACCTTGAGATAGTTTTGACAGGAATTCGGGGAACTAGGAATATTTTTAGTTCCATCAGGGTTGATGGATCAGCAAATAGCTAGAGAGGATTAAGGGGTGGGGGCGGGAATCAGGCCTTGTTTCTCATGTGACAGATAACCGATTCCACAGTTCTTAAATGTGACCATTTGCTGCCTCCCAAAATTATGCTTAAGCCTCCCCCCCCAAAAAAAACCCAACTCACACATGGTAGCTGGTCTTGTCAAACGGGCCAATATAAGGTTCATTTGGCAAGTTTGTTGTTGTTTAGTCATTTATTTGTGTCCGACTCTTCATGACCCCATGAACCAGAGCACACCAGGCACTCCTGTCTTCTACTGCCTCCCGCAGCTTGGTCAAACTCATGTTCGTAGCTTTGAGGACACTGTCGAACCATCTCGTCCTCTGTTGTCCCCTTCTCCTTGTGCCCTCCATCTTTCCCAACATCAGGGTCTTTTCCAGGGAGCCTTCTCTTCTCATGAGGTGGGCAAAGTATTGAAACCTCGGCTTCAGTATGTGTCCTTCCAGTGAGCACTCAGGGCTGATCTCCTTCAGAATGGATAGCTTTGATCTTGCAGTCCATGGGACTCTCAAGAGTCTCCTCCAGCACCATAATTCAAAAGCCGGTCCGGCTCTCACTTCCATACATCACTACTGGGAAAACCATAGCTTTAACTATACGGACCTTTGTTGGCAAGGTGATGTCTCTGCTTTTTAAGATGCTGTCTAGGTTTGTCATTGCTTTTCTCCCAAGAAGCAGGTGCTTTTTAATTTCGTGACTGCTGTCACCATCTGCAGTGATCATGGAGCCCAAGAAAGTAAAATCTCTCATTGCCTCTATTTCTTCCCCTTCTATTTGCCAGGAGGTGATGGGACCAGTGGCCATCATCTTCGGTTTTTTGATGCTGAGCTTCAGACCATATTTTACGGTCTCCTCTTTCACCCTCATTAAGAAGTTAATTCCTCCTCGTTTTCTGCCATCAAGGTTGTGTCATCTGCATATCTGAGGTTGTTGATATTTCTTCCGGCAATCTTAATTCTGGCTTGGGATTCATCCACTCCAGCCTTTCGCATGTTCAATTCCGCATATAAGTTAAATAAGCGGGGAGCAATATACAGCCTTGTTGTACTCTTTCCCAATTTTGAACCAATCAGTTGTTCCATATCCAGTTCTAACTGTAGCTTCTTGTCCCACATATAGATTTCTTATGTTAAGGAAATTAGGGGGGGGGCACATTAAAGTTATTAAATGTTACAGATATTGTGCCTGAATGTATCCTTTCAACTTGACAGCTCAGGGAAGTTACCGTATTTTTAGCTCTATAAGACTCACTTTTCCTTCCTAAAAAGTAAGGGGAAATGTGTGTGGGTCTTATGGAGTGAATGCAGGCTGCACAGCTATCACAGAAGCCAAGAACAGCAAGAGGGATTGCTACTTTCACTGCGCAGCGATCCCTCTTGCTGTTCTGGCTTCTGAGATTCAGAATACTTTTTTTCTTGTTTTCCTCCTCCAAAAACTAGATGCGTCTTGTGGTCTGGTGCGTCTTATAGAGCGAAAAATACGGTACCTAGCTTTAAAAATAATATAAAATCAATTCCTTTGCCAGTTTCCTCCATTCCAAAGCTATTTTCCCCTTGAAAAAGGACTCCAGGAAGTGTCCAGGGGTGACAATTGCTGAGCTGGGCCAAGGAAAGCCTAATCCTATCACCAAACGTGCCAAGGGGCCAGACATGCAAAGGAAGTTCTATTGTACTTTGGGTGATGGGACTTCAGAGGTGTTTGCCTATGCTAATCTTATACCTGAGTCTTGCCCTGACATGGGCATGCTTATGCTAATCTTTTATCAAGGACTTGTCTGGACATGTTTGCCAAGGTTAGACTAGTGTAACCCCTGTCTACCCTCTCCGCTATTGTGACATGTCAGTGATGTAACAATCATATAGCAATGATGCTCTACGAACTGTACTCTGGGATATGGTGGGAAAGTTTTAAAAGTCTTTGTCACCCCATGCTTGGGGTCCAAAATTCCTCTTTGAACCTGTTGCGCAATAAACTTTGGTCTACAGCTATTTTCTCCAGTTGGTGGCTGGACTTCCTTCCTTTATTCTGCAAGGGACCTGCGGGCTCTTCCCAACGAGCTGGTTTGACTGAACAGCCTCACACCTAGATTTTTCCAGAACACTCAGGAGACAGATAAGGTGATCAGGCACTCCCATTTCTTTAAGAACTTGCCATAGCTTGCTGTGGTCGACACAGTCAAAGGCTTTTATGTAGTCAGTGAAGCAGAAGTAGATGTTTTTATGGAACTCCCTAGCTTTCTCCATAATCCAGCATGTTTGCAGTTTGGTCTCTGGTTCCTCTGCCCCTTCGAAATCCAGCTTGAACTTCTGGGAGTTCTCAGTCCACATACTGCTTAAGCCTGCCTTGTAGAATTTTAAGCATAACCTTGCTAGCATGTGAAATGAGCGCAATTGTGCAGTAGTTGGAACATTCTTTGGCACTGCCCTTCTTTGGGATTGGGATGTAGACTGACCTTCTCCAGTCCTCTGGCCACTGCTGAGTTTTCCAGAGTTGCTGGCATATTGAATGTAGCACCTTAACAGCATCATCTTTTAAAATTTTGGTTCTCAAGGAAGAGGCAGCCCAGGAATACAAGGCAGGAATTTGCCTTGAATCTTGCTAACAAAATCCTTTCATAGCTTTTTGCGAGGGTTTTGTGGCTGCTAATCTTAAAGCCAGGATGAGCACTCAGAATTGGGCATCATTTCCTCTGTTATTAAAAATAAAATACTTGTTCTGCTTCTAAAAAAAACCCTTTAGAATGCATTCTTATTCTTTTTTCATAAAAAAATTCAAACAGCTGTGCAAAGGTGCTCCTGTGCAATGCAATGTCAGAATAACAAAATAATGAAACATCTCACAAGAGCCTTGTTTTTTAAATATACAGCTAAAAACCTTAAAACTCCTACAACACTTACCAAATAGAAATCTAATAGCTGCCCCCCCCAGGCACTAGGAGGCAACCTGATGTTCAAGGCTTCACCCCACCCCCAAACTCTGAGCTTTTGGTTTCTCTTTAGACACTCATCTGTGGTCGCCTGGAGCATTTGAGGGGAAAGAGAGAGAACATTGGGGCATACGAAGCAAACATAGAAAAAGAAAGTGACAACCTGCTTGTAATTGTCATTGTTACTTGGAAGGGAACAAGTGCTATAAGTTTAATGTACATATAATGCTGTGCTTGAATGCATTGTAATAAAAATACTATAAAGGGAAGTTTCTCTTAGACTTAGGCAAGAGGTTCCACTCTGACAAAAGCATCAGAGGAGGCTGGATCTTTCCTCATAACTCATCGCTGGAGGCATAAGCTGCAGAGCTCTCACGGAAGGAAGCTTAAACTTGAGAAGCCAGTGTGTTCTTGCTGGAGATGGCTAGGAGAAGCAGCAGCAGCAGTTGCAAATAAGTCATGCAATGTTGAAGAAGCTTAGGATCTCCCTCTGGGACCAGGGATAGGAAAGCTGACTGAATTACATAAAGGACTGAACATTGTTTGCAATGTGCTACTTTATCATGCTTATCTTATTGTTAGACTGTTTAAGACTGTTCTGCGGTAAAGCTTCAAAACTTATTTTTGTGATGGAGAGAATTCATTCCCACACAAGGTCCAGATCAGGAATTCCACGGAACACTTTAACAGCAAGTACTTGAAGGGTACTTCAACAAGTACTTCAACAAGTACTTGAAGGGACATGGGTGGTGCTGGTTGTTAAACCACAGAGCCTAGGGCTTGCCGATCAGAAGGTCGGCAGTTCAAATCCCCGCGACGGGGTGAGCTCCCGTTGCTCGGTCCCTGCTCCTGCCAACCTAGCAGTTTGAAAGAACATCAAAGTGCAAGTAGATAAATAGGTACCGCTCTGGCGGGAAGGTAAACGGCGTTTCTGTGTGCTGCTCTGGTTCACCAGAAGTAGCTTAGTCATGCTGGCCACATGACCCAGAAGCTGTATGCTGGCTCCCTCGGCCAGTAAAGCGAGATGAGCGCCGCAACCCCAGAGTTGTCTACAACTGGGTCTAATGGTCAGGGGTACCTTACATTTACCTTTACCTTTACTTGAAGGACCAAACCAAGAATTACAACAATCTCTTCCTCAAAATGGTTCAGCCTCCACCACCTTTACTGCAGTCACTGAAGGTAACCAACTATGCCCTGGCCCCCCCAATCTTTCTCACTGCCAATGAAAACTAATAAATGAAAAGGAAGAGAACCTACCCATGTCACACTGACACAAACACCTTGCATATGAACTTTGTAAAATAATGAAAGTGTACTACCCCTCCCCCCCGCTTGCTCTCCCCACCTCTCAATTCCCCAACCTTACACTGTATATAACATTAAAGTCTGTCTGTCTGTGATTTTTTATGATATCCAAACAGAGTAGCTTATAGTTAGGAAGCCAACACCCACCCTTCAGATGTGAAGGAAATAAGCAACTATCCTATTCTAAAAGACATCTGAAGGCATCCCTGTTTAGGGAAGTTTTTGATATTTAATGCTGTACTGTTTTTAACGCTTGATTGGAAGCCGCCCAAAGTGGCTGGGGAAACTCAGCCAGATGGGCGGGGTATAAATAATAATAATAATTATTATTATTATTATTATGTAATGATCTTCCTCTGTTTCACTTCAGATAATTCAGTGGGGCCTCTTCTCAGTTCATTCTGGATCAGTGCCTTAATCCTTTGAAGATTTTGTATATCACAGAATAGTCATTGAGATGTCCCCAGATGTTGTTGTCCAGTTCCCGTCAGCTTCAGCCAGCAGGGCAGACAGTCAAGGATGATAGAAACTCCACTCTGGACCCCACCACCTTGGCTCTGCTGCCCTATATCCTTCCCATTGAAAGAAATGTGAAAATTAATTTTGTACGCTATAGATTTATCCTGGTCTGATGCATGCAATGTCTTTTGTTTTGCAGCTGTGTGATTTGTGCTCATATTGTATTGTGGTGGCCATTGGCTATAAACAATAAAATTTATAGATACAGTAGATTGAAATGCAAAAATAAGTAATAAAATATATAAAACGATTTTATTTTTTTGGTCCTCACTCCCAAATGGTGTGTGTTTTTGGTTATATTGTGCTTTTGGTTATATTGGGGGTGGGGTGGGGAGTGGAGAAGTATGAAAGCCAAAAACC